TCATGGTGGAGATATACTGATCTAAAGACTAGAACAATTACTAGCTGGGGCCAGGGGCAAGTATGTATTAAGAGGGGAGGTCAGTCATATGAGTAGGGTGTTAAGTAAAGCAGGGACTGGTCAATCAGGGGATGTACGGAGAACAAGTGAACAGCCATCTTGAGTGGCCTGATTATACAGACCCGAGACTATCAGTGCTATGCTATCAATGGCACAGCACTGCTATCAATGACTATTAACGGGAATGCTCTAACATGGGCATAGAAAAGGTCTACTTTAAATGGCCCATTTTTTCCTTGATGTCTACATTAGAAGTGTGAAAGTATAAAAGGAAAGGTTGTGAGTTGAATAAGGACTCTTTTTTTTCAAAGTTGTAGAAAATAGCATGCTAAGAGTTTTCACCAGTCTTCGCCTGGATTCAGGAGAACAGAGAGGAGCAGTCTAGAAAGATTCTTTAAAGTTAGGGCTTAAATTTTTAAGGCATTTAAAAAATTTTAAATATGAATAAATTTACTTTTCTTGGTTAACATCTGCTAGACACTTAGATTTCTTTTCGTGGCCCAGGAAGCTAACAAGTATAATTCCTACCAGAGATAAAGAATTATACGGTGGCAACACTACTCATTTATGATTGATAGATACAACTTTTTTTTTTTACCTGACCAAGTAACAAATGCACATAATTTTACTTCAGAAGCAGAAATATCTGAAGCCCTAGTAGCAAAAGTAATTTTCTTCTGTTGTTGAATCTTCTGAATCCATTTACAGAACTGAGATAAGCAAATCTTCAGAGGGACTCCTTCATCAACTTGAGCCTGAATAGAGTCACAAAATCTGAATTCAACAACTGAATTCCATAATTATTGAGCACATAAGTAGGCAGTGTGGGGCGGATATACAACAAAGAAGAAGAAATTCTAACTGGCAAAGAGTTCATCTAGTGAAAAGATGTTAAAACACCTGGGAGAGAAATAATATAATGGTTAGAATTCTGCAAGGTAAGAAAAATTCGGTTGATCAATCTAAATCACACAGAAATACAATAAATATATCTCGATCGACAGAAATTTGATGTCACTTAATTTCCATAAAGTATGGAAATTGATATACATCTTTATAACACTATTCTTTCTTTCTTTCTTTTTTTTTTTTGGTCACACCACGTGGGATCTTATTTCCCTGACCAGGGATCGAACCTGTGCCCTCGAAGTACAGCGTCTTAACCACTGGACCGCCAGTACAGCGTCTTAACCATGGGGAAGTCCAATTCTTTCTAATTTTTAAAGATTCCAAGATTCTGGAGGGGACATTATTTCTCCTAATAGTGAATAAATCTAATTCCAAATGGCATATAGCTTTTATTTCCTTTTTGAAACTGATTTCTGATTTTAATATCTGCATCTCGCCTGCTTTTTGTTGGGGTGGGAGGATGAGAAGAGAAATGAGGAAAAGAGAAGGGCATACCTGCTTTATGCCTGTTAGTTCCATGCAAAATTCAGAAAGAATTGGATGTTCCTGAGGCTGAACATAAGCATGGAACTCAGATTCAATCTCTCCAGTTGATGTGTTTAGCAATATAGCTGGAAATTCAACTACATGAAAGAATCATCAATTGACACTTGAATATACAATTGTTAAATTAATGCTGCAATCACTCTAAATATATATTACCATCATATAGCATTCATTATTAAACAATCATCGTTTTAGTAGTAAAAGCATATTAAAATGACCAAAGCAGTGTAATGTAATGGTTAAAGTTATGCCAAAGAATAAGTCAAACTATTAAAGTTACAGGTATATCTACTTAAAACTCTTGAATATATTTCCATAATTAAATATGAAGACCATATGAAAATTGAAACATACTTCTTTTTGCAAAGGCATTGTGTTTTTTTCAGCTTCTATGCAATTGAGATTTTGTATATAATCCTAAAACAATTATTTTTTATGATGACACATTTAGGTATTAGGTTTTTGGGTTTTTTTGTCAAGTCAGATTTTATAGTCAATTACCAATTCATAGATCATTTTGTTTTCTTTAACTGTTAAATGTTTTATATCTATAAACTTTAAAGTAACTTATGTAGTGTTACCTTTGGCCATTTGCAGTCAAGTTCACACTTACTTATTTCCTGGCTACGGTGGCGTTTCCCATCATTCCAACAAGTCGACTCAAAATCAATGACAATTAAGTAGTCAAACAACTGCTCTGCAAAAGATCAGAGTGTCCTTATGTTTTACCAGTGTTAAAAATGCAAGGCTACAGAAAATAAAGAAATGAAGCACACTACTTACTAGATTTGCTTCTTCCTAGATTTCCATTTGGCGGTGCAATTGACTTTCTTCTAATTAATCCAAGCTGCCTAAAAATGTAAAACAATCCAGGTATGCTCAACAAACTCATTCATATCCTGCCTATATAAGCTAACAAACTGATGGTATAACCCTCATTATTAATGGTTTGATGTATTGTGATTGAGAGGAAATTGAACTAGACTGGTTCTTTGCACTCTTCTGACTTTAGTAGTCATTCTACCTGCATGGGCCTCAAAGTGCATATTTGCAAACTTAGACCAATTCTTTGTGCTTCCCTTATTTTACAGTAATACTGAGGAACTCAAGTGATTTTAAAGATGCATTGAAAAGTTAAGTTATTTTTTCTTTTGCATTTTTCAAGCCCTTGCTATGTGTACAGCACAGCTGAGAGGAGACAGGGCAGGTCCAGTCTTCTAGGAGCTTAAAATATCTGGGTAAAGAAACTAGATATCCATAGCAAACTACTGAAAGGTAACATATGATAAAGGATCTTTAAGGGCAACATGCTGAGTCCACAGAAAGGGAAGAGCTTGTTACCTGAAAACTGTGCTCCCCTCTTGGTGGCTGTCAAGCCAAAAGACACAACCAAGGCAAAGAGTGGGAGAAGGGGGTCTTCCCTGGTGGCTCAGTGGTTAAGAATTCACCTGCCAACGCAGGGGACACAGGTTCGAACCCTGCTCCGGGAAGATCCCACATGCTGCGGAGCAACTAAGCCCATGCGCCACAACTACTGAGCCTGTGCTCTAGAGCCGGTGAGCCGCAACTACTGAGCCCACGTGCCACAACTACTGAAGCCCACACGCCTAAAGCCTGTGCTCCGCAACAAAGGCAAGCCACAGCAATGAGAAGCCCGCACACGGCAATGAAGAGTAGCAATCACTCTCTGAAACTAGAGAAAGCCCTCGTGCAGCAACGAAGACCCAATGCAGCCAAAAATAAATAATAAAATAAAATAAATTAATTAAAAAAAAAAAAAGAGCAGGAGAGAGAAGGATTTATTACTTGCAGCAAGTAAGTAGAACAGCGGGGATCCTTTCCAAAGCAGTGTTTCTCCCAACTGCAAAATTGGGGAAGTTTTCAGCTAAGGGTACATGCATATTCATGAAAGATTCCAAGCTTTAGCTGATATAAGTCAAGAGGGTCAAAAAAGGTCAACATCATCATCCCTTGGGTTCCAGCTGATCTGGTGGTTGAGCACCTCAGGCTAATCTTTACCACTGAAACAGAACTAGGAGTCTTTTTTTTTTTGGCCGCACCACGTGTCTTGCAGGATCTTAGTTACTCAACCAGGGATCGAACCTGTGCCCGCTGCAGTGGAAGCGTGAAGCCCTAACCGCTGGACCACCAGGGAATTCCCAGAACCATTGGTCTTTACAACTAATATATTATCTTTTCCACTGTTGCTTCTCTTGCCTAACAGTCATTTTTTCCTGCATTCTTTTCTTCATTTAAGATCATTATTTACTGAGACCTCTTCAAGGACAAGCATTGTGTCCAGGCTTAGATTACAAAATGGCTTCGGCCAAAACTGGCTTCTTTTATGTTAAGAAAGCCATGCCTGGTTCTCTTTCTCCAGTGAACCCCTACCCTAACAGCTTACATGCTTACTGAGGTCCTAAGTGCCCTGAGACAGAACTGTGCTAAGTAGAGTTTAACTAGGTAGACACCTCCTGTTCTAGCTTTTTGTTTGACCTGTGATGGGGATTTGAGAATAATGGGTAACACCTACTGACTGCTCACTACATAGTAGGCACTGAACTAAGATGGTGATCTCCTTTCATCCTCAACAACTGTACAAAGTAGTCACTTTTGCTACCTATGTTTAATGGATGAGAAAACGAACTCAGCAAGTTGCCAGAAAACACATATTTAGTTTGTGAACCAAGGATCATCCAACTGAGAAACCCATGCTATTCACTAATGATTCTATTAATCACAAACGTGAACAGCGTGTCCAAAAATCAGGAAAAAGGCCACAATGATTCACATTGTGAATTAAAGGGATCACGAGTAAGTGGTGGGGTGAACGGCTTGTTGAGTGCGGTCGGGGCTCCCTGCGACCTCCGAACGGCCCTCCAGGGTCGTTCTTAATACTTTCCCGAGGCCTGGTATAGGCAGACTGTGGCTCAAGGGCACAGAGTCGAGAACCTTGGTCCTTCCACGCTCGCGCAGAGGGCTGCCTGAGGCTCGAAACTGAGGTCCAGGCAGAGACCGTTCAGCCTGGGCTGGCCAGTACAGGTTGGGACGCCCGAGCTGCAGACAACGGAGGCTGACGCTGCGGACTCTGACGCGGACGCCAGCGCCGGACCAGGACCGACCCCCGCGCCGCCCGGAGCCCCCTAGCGTACCGTGCAAGGCTTTTGGTCGCCATTCCCGACGCTCCTTTCTCTTCACAGCCCAACTGCCGGAAGTCGCTGTACTCCCTCTTCCGGCCCATTCAAACGCTGCGCGCCGCAGCGGAAGCAGTTACACCGTCGGCTCCGCCCGGGGCTGAGGCAGCGGCGCCGGTTCTTTGTGCTCTCAGCCCTGCTTCTCTTCGGCGTCTTCGGGGAATCTGGGGCGTGGGGAGTGGTTTTGGCAGGGAAGCAGCTAGACAGCGCCCCCCTTCCCCCTTACCAACAGGCGGAGGCGCGTTTGCGATTGGGGAAGCGTATCAAATCCGGCCTCCGGCGTCAACTGTAAAGCCGTTTGGGTTGGTGCGGCGTGGTTTTCTTTGCCGCGTTAACGGGGAAGACCGTTGGCACCCTCCCTTTCCGAGGCGGGCGGGGAGCGCTTCGTAAACTGAATTAAGGAGAGGATCTGAGGAGGGTTGTAGGCTATCGAAACCCTTGTGCTCCCCACTCAGGAGACGGCCCTGGCCATCTGGGCGTCGCGGTTTTCTCATCTCTAACCGATCTTTCTCCACAGGCTCATGGAGCCAGAGAAGGAAAGGACCGGGAGGACCCCCAAGAAGGGCAGGAAGAGGAGGCGGGTCCCGAATAAGCTGGTCGGGGCGTCAGAGGTGATGAGAGACCGTTGGGATCTTGAGGAGAGGCAGCAGCCCGAGGCCAAGGTGAGCAACGGGGGATCCCGAATGGGCGGCCCGAGGCAGTTTGGAGCTCCCAAATGATAATACGATACCACATACCTTAGGGCTGATATTGGCGGTTTAAAACAGGTATTGTGCCTGGCACACGAGAAGAATGTTCGTTCAACAGATATTTATTGAAGTCTTCTGTATGCCAGGAATTGCTCTAGCTTCTGGAAGTATCCCAGTGCATAAAAGCACAAAATCCCCTGCACTCGTGCAGTTTACATTCCCATAGGGGAATAAAATTGATGATCATCTCTGTCATTTATTGAGAGCTAAATAATGCCTTTCATCCCTTTAGTCATCAGATTTCTATTGTCTTCCTAGGCAGAGATCACTACTACCTTTACTAGTGGAGAGAGAAAGAAGATAAACAATAGATAATGATAAATCAGTTATATAGAAGGGAATTAGTGCTATGAAAACGTTTTTTAAATGGGATTCCTTTTTCTTTTTTTTGGCCTATCCGATTGGCAAAGCAATTTTTTAAAGGTTAACGTGGTAGAATGTCGAAGGAAGTTGACAGTCTCATCACTTTATTTTGAAACAAACTTAAAGAAAATTTGCAAGGACAGTATCAAAAACTACCCCCCAGCCAACATTTGAAAGTACTGTAGTTGCTAACAGAATGCCTCCCCCCACCCATATTTTAGTGTTTACATATTTCCTACAATCTACATAACTAAAATGCAACCATCAAAATCAGGAAATAACATGGATATATTGCTACCATCTAATACTCAGACCCCATTCAAGTTTCTCCAGTTGTTCTAATAATGTCCTTTTTAGCAATAAGATCAAGTCTAGAATCATGTGTTACAGTTAGTTGTCATGTCTCCTTCAATCCAAACAACTGTTCAGTCTTTTCTTTGACATTTGTGACATTACTACCTTTGAAGAATCCTGGACCAGTTATTTTGTAGAAGTTAGGTTTGTTTGTTTCCTCATTAATTAGATTCAGATTATACATCTTTGGCAGGAATATCACAGAAGTGATATTCTGTTCTCTTGTATTTTATCAGGTTGTACACAAGTTTGATTTGTCCCATTACTGGTGATGTTAACCTTGATAACTTGATTAAGAACGTGTGTGCTAAACTTCTCTAAAGTTACACTTTTTCTCTGTTGTTTTGTGGGGAGATGCTTCCTCATTAAACTTGCAGTTTATTCATTTTTTTATTAGTATGAATTTGTGGATACCTATTTTATTCATTGAGTTATAATCCATTACTGTATTTATTTTGCTGCTCAAAATATCCCAGATTTGGCCATTAAGCTAGCTTCTGTGTCCCTTTAACATGACCCCATCATGCTTGAGCATTTCCTTATTTTTCTGGCACAAAAAGATGTTCCAGACTCTTCTGTGCTTTCCCTGCCCCAGCCCTGGAATCGGCTGCTTCTGCCAGGAGACTTAGTTCTTTTTAGTGGAGAGTGACATTTAGAAATCAAGATCTGGATGCTAGATGTGTTTATTGCTATTGGTATGTCACTACTCCCAAAAAGAGAGCTAGGTAATATGTGTGTATATGTTTATACACACATACGTATGTTTACATTTAAATATTTTTCTGTATACATATTGAAAAACTATGAATTCATATCAATATCTCTACTTCCAATCCAATTCCACAGGGTTCATTCTAGTTTTCTCCCTTTTCATATTTATAACTTCCTTATATAACAGTGAGAAAACTGACTCCCATTATCTTCAATGTATTTGATCAGTCCCCCATTGCTGCCATTGCCCCACACCCTCACACCTTCCTTACCCTGCTTGGCCCTGTCATTCTGCGTCTTATACCAGGTTACTCTCCTATCTGAATGCCTTCATTGCTGCTGTGACAAGCTACTACCCTCATCCTTCTCACACGGACACCCGCACCCTTTTCAGGCTTTGAATTCAGTGACAGCCGTCTTTGTCCCTCAGCATTGTTGCCCTCCTTACCTTAAACAATTTCTGACATCTGATGCCAGCCTCACTGCTCTCCAGTTGCCACTGCATGGATGCCCTCCTCATACCGCTCAGGCTTTGACACTTCACATTGGGCCACTGTCCTGCTTATATATCCTGGGTTCCTACCCCTAGTCCTGGGCTTTCTCCCCTATAGGATGCCCTCCTCACCCTGCTCAGCCTCTGACATCGCATGTTCGGCAACCATGATTACTCACTGCCATATAGATTCCTTACTCATACATTATCAATATGATACAGTTTTGTTTGGTAAATATAAATTGGTATATTCTTTCAGGAGTTAGCAATATTGTCAGAATATAAGATATATATGCTTATTTTGACCAGGAATTTATCCTGAGGAAATAGGTGTACAAGGATGCTTATCATAATACTGTTCATAATTTTTTAAAACAACAGTGTCATCAATAGGGAATTTTTTTCAAATAAATTATGTTTTAAGTAAATTGAAAGAGTGGACTATTATTAAAATTGACTTTTGTTATGTTTAACAGATATGGAAAGATATTTACAGCTTTTTTTTTTTTTTTGGCCACGCTACGCAGCTTGCAGGATCTCTGTTCCCTGACCAGGGATTGAACCTGGGCCATGGCAGTGAAAGCGCCTAGTCCTAACCACTGGACTGCTAGGGAACGCCCCAATTTTTTTTTTCTCTTTTTTTTTTCTTGGTGGCGGGAGTTGGTTACAAAACAATGTAAAGTATAATCCCTTGGGAAACGTATAAAGTAGAGATGAAAAGAGTTTGGGCTTTGCAGCCTGCATTCTGGTCTTGGTTCTGCCACTTATCTGTTCCTCCATTTCTTTTTTCTAATTTTATTTTTTATTATTTATTTTATTTATTTTTGGCTGCGTTGGGTCTTCATTGCTGCGCACGGGCTTTCTCTAGTTGCATCGAGTGGGGGCTACTCTTTGTTGTGGTGCGCGGGCTTCTCATTGCGGTGGCTTCTCTTGTTGCGGAGCATGGGCTCTAGGTGCATGGGCTCAGTAGTTGTGGTTCGCAGGCTCAGTAGTTGTGGTGCACGGGCTTTGTTGCTCCGCGGCACGTGGGATCTTCCCGGACCAGGGCTTGAACCCATGTCCCCTGCATTGGCAGGCGGATTCTTAACCACTGTGCCACCAGGGAAGCCCCTGTTCCTCCATTTCTTTATCTGTAGCTTGCATTCTGGTCTTGGTTCTGCCATTTATCTGTTCCTTCATTTCTTTATCTGTGAAATGGGGATAACAGTAGTGCCCACTTGAGAAGACTTAAGAATTAAATGATTTAATAGATATAAAGTGCTCAGAACTGTAAATGACTAATAATAAGTGTTCAACATTAGCTTTAAACAGTCACAGGGGAAAATAGCAATAATAATAATAATAATGCCTGGTGTTTAAGTACTTATCTTAGGGTATGTCAGGCACTGGCCTCAGTACATTGCACTTACAATGTACCTCATTGGTCTTCCCAGTAATCTCATGAGGTAGAATTGTAGTTATTCTGTAAATGAAAAAAACTTAGTCTTAGAGAGGTCAAGGCACTTGTCCCTAAGCTCTTAACATCTTAAGGCACTTAAGATGGTAGAGCTTTGGGGGACTTCCCTGGTGTCCGCCTTCAAGTGCAGGGACGTGGGTTTGATACCTGGTCCGGGAACTAAGATCCCACATGCTGCAGCTCAACTAAGCCCGCGCACTGCAGCTACTGAGCCTGCCCACTCTAGAGCCTGCTCACCACTAGAGAGCCTGTGTGCCGCAACTACTGAGCCCATGTGCCAAAATGAATCTTCGTGCTGCAACGAAGATCCTGCATGTTGCAACTAAGACCCGACGCAGCCAAATAATTAAATTAAAAAAAAAAAAAATGGTAGAGCTTGGTATTTGAACTCAGGTAGCGTGACTCAAGGGCTTGAGCTCCTAACCACTATTACTCTGCTGCCTCCCAGACCAAAATGAAAGTGGTATTACTTGTACTTGAATTGTACAAATACAGGTGACTTATTTTCACTTATTTGTTGTGTTTTATCTGTTTTACCCTTCTCTATTATCTGACGTTTTTTACAAGCATGAATTACTTTAATAACTATATCTAAGTACAAAGCTATTTTAAAGAGAGGCTTAAAGTCTGACTCCTTAGGTTAGACCACATTGATCATCTATGAATTGGCTCCCACTTCTCTCTTCTCTCATATCTCTATTGCTCTGTAACCTGCAGTCTTGACTCCAGCCAAACCAAACTGTTTAGACACAATGTTTCCTCCTACCTGGCTGACTCATTATTTTCAAGGTTCAACTCCATTATTTTCATCTCAGTGATGCTATCTCCAAAACTCTCCAATCCCCAAGGCAGTTAGTTAGCCTCTTTTGCTCCCTTACCTTTATAGTAGCACCCACATTATATTGGAATTACTGTTTCTGCATTTTTCCTCCTAGTAGAATGGACTTCTTGAGAGCATGAGTCGTGTTTTATTCATGCTGCTATCCCTAGCACATAACCAAGTGTCTATAATTAAGGTTCTGTATCAGTGTTTATTAAATATCCTATTAATAATGTCATATCACAGGTTGTTGTTTTAGACCTTCATTTCTAATTAGTAAGAATCCTCCTTTATGTTTAGAGTATGCTAAAATAATAGAAACTAGAATATTTAAAAATTTGCCGTGTTTTTTTGATGTTCTTTATAATCATAATTTGTTATACTCTGATTTATCTTTGCAGAAAGCCTGCTTATCTACCATTTTATTTTCTGATACCTGTGAAATAACTCATGGCCAGCTATGTGAATTGCTGAAGTATGCAGTTCTGGGCAAATCCAGTGTTCCTAAACCTAGGTATGAGAAGAACATAAATGGTGGGTATAGACCTGAGGTTTCATATTGGTATCTAGAGGACCATGTCTACCTGATGTTTTTTATTTGCCACACAGAATGTCCTGAATTTTTTTTTTTTACAAAGTTGCCAACAATTTAACTTGGGAATCCCTTTATATCCATATTTTTTACTTTGAAAAACTCTGGCAGCTGTCCCTATGGCAACAATTTGTTGAAGCTGAATAGTGGCCTCCTATTATAGATGTACACTTCAGTGTCCCACCTGGCCTGCTTCCCTTATTTACAGTGTCTGTCTGGCTGCTATAGGTATTTTGTTTATAATCTCCAGTGGAGACCTGATTGAAATAACATGATCATGTATTAAGAATCCCAGTCTTTTTTCTTCTTTTACAAATAAGGGCAAAGAGAATTTTACTATTCTGATATCCTCAATGCCATTATTAAATATCTAATGAAAATTGCATTTCTGTATGTACCAATACACAGTAGAGAGATTTTCATATGTACACTTCCGTCTGGGGGTGGAGTGGCTACAAACCTTAAAAGCCCGCTTCTGCCTTAACAGATACTATCATTGCTCTGTCACTTTATCTGAACTGGCTTTCTGGAAGCCGGTCACATTACTGGCTTAGGAAGGACTGTAGAGCAGATTTGGATCTTGAAGATATGCCTTTGTAAACTGAGCTTAATAGGATTTTGGATTTGAATGCATTGTGTTTTACTTGCTATTATACTTGATTTGAATGGAATAAATAATTATCTCAAGAGATCTTTATTTGAATTCTGTGCAGTAATAGCTGTTTTCCATTTCCAGGCAGTCAGTGAGTGATGATAAACTCCAATATCTGTTGCTCAGTGCTTTTCTCACACTTCCCTTCTGTATGTCTGTAACTGACTTGACGGTATCAGTCTTAGCTTTGTTCGTTTTATTTTTCAACAGCTGGTGCCAGCTTTTTCACCAAAACCACCTGAACAATGTGGTGGTTTTTATACTGCAGGGAATGAGTCAGCTACACTTTTACAGGTTCTATTTGGAGTTTGGGCTTCTCCGAAAGGCATTCAGACACGTAAGTTAAGAAAACTTTGTATTCGGACCTGAGTCAGGTCCTCACACTCAGAGATTAGTGCACATGTCTCAAATTGTGCTCTTTGGCAACCTGATTGAACAAGCAATAGAAGTTGTAGAAAGCTAAAAAGATTATACTTGATACCTGAGATTAGACTGTTGAAATTAGATTTATCTCTCATTTTTTTCTTTGGTAATCTAGGCAAAACCCTTAATCCCAGATTGCAATCTAGTTCCCAGATTATAGTTGATATTGTCACATTTTATTTGGGCTTTGGTGTTTTCAAAAATTGAAAAATTTACATAAAACCTATATTTTTTGGCTTCTCTTGACAGCATCACAAGATTAGGTTCCCTTAAAACAGTATCTGGAGCTGAATAGCAGCTGTCTTTAGAAAGGGCATGTGCTCTCCATTTTACCATAGCCTCCTCCATTCTTTATCAGACTGTTTCATCCATTTACCCCTGAGAGCATTTGAATTGGTGAGCCCTAACCTAACCCCCTTGGGTCTCCATTTTCTTTTTTTGCTTTCATTTATTGAACACTACCTATGTGTTAGGCCCTATATTAATCATACTGTATGCATCATCTTTAATTCTTACAATAGTCCTATAAGAGATACTTTTTTTTTTTTTTTTTGCGGTATGTGGGCCTCTCACTGTTGTGGCCTCTCCCGTTGCGGAGCACAGGCTCCGGACGCGCAGGCTCAGCGGCCATGGCTCACAGGCCCAGCCGCTCCGCGGCATGTGGGATCTTCCCGGACCGGGGCACGAACCCATGTCCCTTGCATCGGCAGGAGGACTCTCAACCACTGTGCCACCAGGGAAGCCCCAAGAGATACTTTTTTATTCCCATTTTATACATAAGGAAACTGAGTAACGCACCCAAGTTACAGCTAGTAAGTGGAATTTACAGCTGGAATTGAAGCCCAGGTGAGCCTGAGACTTGAACTCTCAATCTATTTACTTTTCTGTGTCATCTACCTGGAATGTTATCCACTAAAGTAATAGATATGAAAGTGCTTTGAAAAATATAAGGAACTTTGCTTTTCTAAGTTATACATTTTTGTAATGTTTGTTTCTTTTGTATAGTGTGTAATTAGAGAAGCAAAGAAAATTTCTGTGGTGGGATAAATATGGCTTCACTTATTTAGTCACTTTTACAACTTAAGGAAACAGTCCTCATTTTACAATGCAAACAATTAAGGTCCAGATCTTTCATAGCACTGAGCTGACAATAAAAGTCTAGGTCTGACAGTATTTTAACTGTTTTCAAGCATTTTTGTAACAACCTATTATGTATTTTCAGAAGTTCTGCTTGCCTCCCCCATCATCTGATTTCCTAGCTGATATCATTGGGCTGCAAAAGAAACAAATAATTGGGGATCTGCCTAAAGGAATGGAAGGTATGACTATAAGTAACTTAAGCAGAAAAGCAATTTTGTGTGTGTGTGTGTTTTAAGGAAAAAATGGGTAAGTACCAAGGCGGATTAGATAGCAGGAAACATAACCAGGGTTCATGCCTCAGCAATCATTTGGTTAAGTTAGATAGCTAAGTCTGCTCCCTGGATATCACTGACACTGGACTCAAACTGTCACTGGGTCTTTGTACCCACAAGTGTACACATGGGAAGGAAGATCTTGCCTTTGACTAATGTAGGGGATACTCACTAATACTACTCACAGTGGCAGATTAGGGTGCTGGCCAGCTAAAGTATAAATATCCATGATAGCAGTGTTTTTCAAACTGGGTTGTGTCCTGTTAGCAAGTTGTAGCTGACCTTCTCTTTTGCGGGGAGAGGAGGTGAGTGATGGAATAGACCTTAACAGTTCATTGCACATAGTAAGGTAAGTATTGTTCAATAATGCTTTTTGTATATTTGTTCAGAAATAATTAAATTATTGAATAGCTGCACTGAGGGGACATGAAAAAGTGGTGAGGAATAACTAGTGATTTCTTTGCATATCCTCCATGACTGTGTTTGCTGTTATCTTCTGTCTCAAAAGCTTCTAACTTCCTACCTTTCCATTGTTCCCCTTTCCTTCTAATAGATGTCCATATCAGACCTGCAGCTTTGTTTAATTTGGCATCCACTGTATTTTAAACATCTTTGAGTGAATCACAGAGTAGTCATTGTGAGATTCAAAACTCAGGTAAAGACATTGAGCTGTAAAAGAAAGGATGTAATCAGAAAAAAGAAATTGATGTGACTGAAGAATATAGATTGTTGAGGATGATTAGGGGGTGGAGATGGAATAAGAGGGCGGGTAGTGGTGAGAGAGAGACTTAGAGGTAGGTTAAAGCTTTGTCTTGCAGGCTGTAAATGCCATGCTAAGGACTTTGGATTTTATCCTGTAAGCATTGAGGAGCTAGAGGGTTATAGCTACTTCTCTGTCCTCCTAAGGATTTTGCTTCATTTTCCCAACCTAAATAAATATCGAAGTCCCCAAGATATAGTCCATACACTTTGATCTTTCTTCAGTTCTCTTTTGAAATATTCATCTGTTCTTCCCCAGTTTATCCATCACTCTTCTGTGGATAACTCCTCTGTCTTTAGGTTTGATATCCCAAACTCCAGACCTGCATTTTCAACTGCCTGCTGGATGTTGCTACCTGGATACTCCACTGTACCCTCAATCATAGCATATATAAAAGCATTTTTCTCATCCCTAAATAACAGACTCCCAACTTCAAATCCCCTTTTCTGTTGGTACTGTTTTTCTCTAAGCCACCAGTATTGAATTTTAGAATTACTTTTCTTTTGGCTCCCCATACCTAATCTTCATGACTCATTCCCTTTGCTATTAAGAATGTATTCAAATGTTACTTTATCAGAGAGACCTTCCCTGGTTATAAAATATATGACATTAACCCTTTTCCTGCCCCAGCACTCCCTTTCCTCCTTTTTCTCCTTTACTTTTCTCCATAGTCCTTATCCTCACCTGCTATATTATGTATTTGTTTGTTTATTGTCCATCGTCCCAACTAGAATTTAAGATCACCTAGAATTTAAGAGAATTTTGTTGATTTTGCTCATTGGGGAATCTACTGGCTAGAGCAATACCAGGCATATAATAAGTACTCAGTAAATATTTTGTTGACTGAACTGAATTACTCTGTCACTATGCTCTACCAGTTTTTCCTTTTTTTAAAAAAAATATTTATTTGTGCTGGGTCTTAGTTGTGGTTTGTGGGCTCCTTAGTTGTGGCAGGCGGGCTCCTTTAGTTGTGGCTTGGGAGCTCCTTAGTTGTGGCATGAGAACTCTTAGTTGAGGCATGCATGTGGGATCTAGTTCCCTGACCAGGGATCGAACCCAGGCCCCCTACATTGGGAGTGCAGTCTTAACTCGCGCCCCCTGCATTGGGAGCCAACAGGGAAGTCCCTCTACCGGTTTTTCTTGTGTAGTGTTTCTTTCTTATAACCTTTTTCCTCCCTCCATCATCTTAATCCAGACTCTTTTTTTTGCCAGAATTATTGCAAAGTCATTTCTCATTTCTCTCTCTGCTTCATTTTCCACATATCTTTGAGGTTGATCTTTCTTAAAGTACTGTTTGGTTATGCCACTTCACTTCTCAGGAACTTTCTGTTGCTCCACCTTATATATGAAATGATGGACTAAAATTCAAACTCTTGAGCCTGGCATTCGCAGTGGTCTACAATTCACTTTTATCCTCCTCTTTCAACCTTGTTTCTTACTGCTCTTCTACAAAGACCTTTTTTTCTCCCCGACTGGTCTAGTCACTACCATACCAAGTTTGCTTTGTACGTTTCTATCTTACCTGGGATGCCCTCTTTCCTTACTTTTGATTCTTTGGCATTTTTGGTTGCAAGGACCAGGCACTCGCTGAGGCCACCTTAAGTGAGAGGGTATTATTTGAAGGACATGTGGACTAAAAGTCATCAAGAATCTAAATGCCTCTGGTGAAGAGCTGTTCTCCATCCCTTTCATGGCATCTTAGCTTCTTTGTTTCCTGTTCTAACTGGTGTGTTCTCTTTATTTCCTAGTTCAGTTCTGAAAGCAAGCAATCTGATCAGCTTAGCTAATTACCCTTGTCCCTTTTGAGCATGTCTTGACAAGGAATATCAAGTCACTGGTCAGTTTATAGATAGCTCCCTCTTTAGCCAAGTCCCCACTCTTAATCCAATCAGTAACCAGCCCTGCTTAAAGAACCAGCACCCCTGCTGGTGCTTGAGCAAGTGGTTAGGGGTGCAGTAGATTTAGCTAGAATGGGCTATTAGGAGTGGCAGACACTGTAACAGACTGGTCTAATACACCAAATATCTGAATTCTGCCTTTTCTTTAAGACTCAGCTAATCTTTTCTTCTCTTGAACCATCTCTAACCATCTCAGCCAGTATATTCTCCCTTTCCCTTTTATAGCTTTTATTATTATAACCCATTTGAGACTTATTTTCTCTTTGTGTTCTTTATAAGTGTATGAGAGTGCAAGCTCCTTTAAAGTTGGGGCTGGGTCTTAAAAATCTTTTGATCTTCATCATGCTTACCCTATACAACATTAAAAGGACATGTCCTCTGAGGGTTGTTAAACACAGATTCTAACATATGTATGATTGTCCTTGTTTCAGGGTCTTTACCTTCTTCCAGCTCAGAAGTCAGCATCAACCTGCAGAATGACCCCATCGTTAAAAAGTATGGCTCTAAGAAAGTAAGGTTGACCAGATGCCTTCTCACAAAGGAGGAAATGAAAACATATCACTTTCCGTTACAAGGTTGGTTTAGATTTAACCTGATGTTGGTAACAATGGCAGAATATGTATCAGTTTATTTTAAAATATTACTGTTGAAAGTTCAATTTTATGGGCTGCTTTCCAAGTGATTTATTCCATCTTCTACTAAAGAGGAAATACTTTCAGTGCAATGTATCCTCAAGTGTAGGATGTGTACCATTATTGATTTTAGGTAGTACGTGAACATGACCTTAAATATTGTGGGAAAATTATTCCTTTTTCATTTTTATTTCATTCCTTAGTATATTGAAAAGAAGTCAATATGTCTTTAAAACTTTAACACTTCTCTGGTACTTCTAATCCTTCTCCCACCCATCCCACCCCATTTTCTTTAATAAATAGGACAAGTCTAGGCTCAGAGCCTTGGTCTGTTATGTAGCAAGAATTTAATAAAAATTCTTTGATTTATTACCTCTTAATCACAGCAGTCATGTTAAAATTCCTTAAAAAAAAAAAAAGCCCTATTGAGTTATGATTAACCTACCATTCAGTTCACCCATTTAAAGTATACAATTTCAGTAGTTTCTAGTATGTTTACAGAGTTTTTCAACCATCACTACAATCACTTTAGAACATGTTCATAACCCTAAAAGAAACCCTGTACTATCGTTTCCCCCCAGTGCCCTTTAGCCCTAGGCAACTACTAATTACTTTCTGTTAATAGATTTACCTATTGTGAATATAAATGGAATCATACAATATGTGGTCTTTTGTAACTGGCTTCTTTCACTTAGCATCAAATTTTCAAGGGTCATCCATGTTGTAGCATGTATCATTACTTCATTTATTTTCATTCTAATGATATTCCATGTATGGTTATACATTTTATTTATCCAGTCATCAGTTGATGACATTTGGGTTGTTTCCACCTCGGGGATGTTATGAATAATGCTACTTTGAATATTCAGATACAAGTTTTTGTGTGGACATATGTTTTCATTTTTCTTGAGTATATACCTAGGAGTAGAACTGCTAGATCCTATGGTAACTCTTTGTTTAACCTTTAAGGAACTATCAGACTGTCTTACAAAGCAGGTGCACCATTTTACATTCCCTCCAGCAATGTATAAGGGTTCCAATTTGTACATCCTTACCAACACTTGCTGTGCTCTGCCTTTTTGATTATACCCATCCTAGTGTGTGTGAAGTAGTATCTCATTGTGATTTTGGTTTGCATTTCTCTGATGGCTGATGATATTGAGCATCTTTTTATAAGCTTATTGGCCATTTGTATATTTTTTCAGATCCTTTGTCCGTTTCTTAATTGGGCTGTCTTTGGGGAGTTAATAGTTCATATATCATAGTATTGCCATGAGGATTAATTGAGTTAATGTACAAAATGAGCTTAGCATGGGGCACATAGTGCTTTAAAAAAGTTATTCTTTGTTATTATTGGTACTAATAATATAGATAAGGAGGGCAGCAAGTATAATGTCTCCAGGATTTGGGGGTACTCCTTTCTGGTCTAGACTGTATTTTGGTTCTTTTAATTGTAATCAGTTGGAAATTTCAGGGTACTGTGACATAGAAACTGGTCAAAGCTTTTCATACTCCCCTTAATTTCTTGTCAAATAAGATCTAGATATTACCTTTACTGTTTCAGCCTCTGTCTGAAGGTAGGAATCTTCAATGATTCAGACACTTTTGGGCCTCTGAACTGAATGTGCCTGGTTACTGACTTAGGGTACACAATGGAAGGGATACCTTAAGCCTGTGTCTGAGCCTCTGTAGGGAATTTTCAGGCTATGATTCCAGAAAATGAGTCACGTTTCTAAAGAGAGATCTTGGAGAAATTTTAAGGGTAGAGTTGAGTACAAGAGTGCATATGGTGAATGTTAAACATTCTGCCTACCATGAAATCCTTTTAGATCTCTGCTATGGTAGAATCTCATTCCTACTTTTTCTTGTTTTATTTAGGAAAGAAAGATGCCACATGCAGTCGTTTGCACACTTTATTCATCCTTCCTTAGTGCCTACATGGGAAAGGTCCAGTGACTTTGGATTTAGCCACAATTTAATTATAATTTCTAATAAGGAGGAAAAAATTGTTACTTGGTAACTGCAAGGAAGTCTAGGCCCTAGTATCTCCAATAACAGCAGCCTACATTATTCTCCCAAAATATAAAAATGAGTAGATGGAGAAAAAATTAAGGACAGAAATTGTCTTATTTAATTTTATATTTCAAGTGTCTAACATAGAGAAGGTGCCATACAAACGTGGTATCTCAGTTTCCCCTGGATAAATACAGGAGTAATTTTTACCATTTCTAGTTCTAAAGGCAAATATTTTATTCCTTTTCCTCCTAGGTTTTCCTGACTGTGAAAACTTTGTGCCTACAAAATGTTGTGGTTTTATAACCAACAACAGTCCTCTCTTTGGGCTTGACTGTGAAATGGTAAGTACTACTTTTGATTTTTAGCTGGAGTGTTGCAAACTAGGGTCTAGTTTTCTTGAGTGCGTTCAGTTCTAGTATTCAGTTTAAATAACTGAAAGTAGACCCATTTAATCACATTTTAGAAAAGTTGGATCTTTGCTCCAGGATGAGAAATAAATATCACATAAGTTTTCTAACTAGTTGATATATTTAATCTAATTTTTGAATATTACTAGAAGTTGATTGCTTCTGTCTTTTGAACAAGTGTTTTGTTGTTATTGCCTTGAAGACTTTGCCTGAATTACCATTGGTTTGGCTTAGTTTTACACATTTAAGATCAGAAGTAGGATTTTCCTGCTTAAGCTCCCCTTATGTTTTACTTTGTCTAATCAGTAAGTCTCCTTTCAGAGGCAGTGTATCCCCTCTCACTTAGTACTCAAGTAACAGTTTCTCAACACTGAACAGAGTGGCTAAGAGCTAAGGATTTGGAGTCTGTCCTATCAGGATGTGTATCCTGGCCTTGCCTGTCACCTTGGACAAATTCCCTAGTTCTCCCTCTGTGAAGCAGGGATAATATTAGGGGCTACTTCATGGGGTTATTATGAGGTGGTATATAAAATGCTTAGTATTGTGTTAGATAATAGAGTGTGCTAATAAAAATTATTTTTTTGGTACTTAGCATAATACTGGGTTGTAGTACACAGTAAATAGTACAATTATAATTGATGTTAGTATTTCTGTCCCTCTCGGGCACATCCTTCCCAGAGAAATTGTACTGTGTTGGTTACTTTAAGTGTAATGTTCAGCAGCCTGCTTAACTTTAATTTCATTCATATTGGATTCTCTAGTCAGCAAAAGGCTGTGCCATTGTCACAGAGTAGATTAGAGTAGATGGCAGTTGATGTAGTCTTGAATAATGAGAGGAAGCAAGAGTTTCCACAGTTTAGCAGCCTATCTACATCCTGGTCTTTCAGTGCTTGACATCCAAGGGGCGAGAACTAACACGCATCTCACTGGTTGCTGAAGGAGGCTGCTGTGTTATGGATGAACTTGTTAAACCTGACAACAAGATTGTGGACTACCTCACCAGGTATTTTTCACCCTGCCTCCAGCTCGCTATAGCTGTCAGACTAGAGTGGAATGAGACTTAACAGGAATAGCCTGTAGCTTCTGTTTAGTTAGGTATTATCTACTTATTTATTATCAAAGAAAAGGCTGGGGTGCCACAACTAGAAATTTTAATACTGAAATTGCACAATGTCGGTGTATAATGCTCTTGCCTTTCTTGCTCTCTAATCTTCCTGTGACCTAAGTCACCAGAATATTATCTTCCTTGTCATAGAATCTGACAGTTGTAATCGTTATCTAGCAACTGCCAAACAGCTTTGCTCTCTGATGAGACACCATCTGAAAAATCTGTAAATCATCTTCTGGCAGTCAAATGATTTTAGAGCTTAATCTGCCTTGACCTCAGAAACCAAAACAAAACTAAGTGTTTCCACAACAGAAATTTGAAGCTCAAAAAATTTTCTCTGTCTTTCCAAAGATTAGCAAGTAATTTCAGAATGTACACACTACAGTGATTAGGCAAAGAAAAGCCAGTGAAACATTACCGTTGCTGCGCATTGTAGTTGCACCTATCAATTCATGCTTACTTAGGCACAGAGAGGCCACGATGGTGATAAAGACTGCTGTTGGCAGACATGACAATTAGTATTTTTAGGGAACAGTCATAGGTGACAAAGATGTATGTATAAGGGTATTTGTCATACTATTGCAGAAATATGGGAATATGAATGAAAGTAGGGGGTTGGTTAGAATGTTATATTCATCTAATGGAGTACTAACCATTTAAAAGGATGTGCTGAAATAGATTTATTGATGTGAAAACTTGTTCATGATATATAGCACATGTTATGATCATATTATAAAGTAGCATAGGCATTATGATTCCTTTTTCTTGGGCCATACCACGTGGCTTGCGGGATCTTAGTTTCCTGACCAGGGATTGAACCCAGGCCCACGGCAGTGAAAGCATGGAGTCCTAACCACTGGACTGCCAGGGAATTCCCATGATTATAAAAATGAAACATATATATGAATACATATGTATCAAAAAATATGATACAATATTTACTAAAGTGTAAAAAATGATCTCTGGGTGGTGGGATTATGGGCAGGCTTTTTTTTTTTTTTTGGGGGGT